AAGCATGACCATGAGAAACGAATTAAAAATAGAAAACCAATGAATCTATAATAAAATATATGCATATCGTGTTAACCCCAAAGTTTTCTCACACTACTACAATGAAATAAATTACCTTGTGCTCAAAAAATTCTGTATCTAATAGTTTATCGAATCTCGAATCAAATGAGTCTTCAGTAGGTTCCCATCTTACTGAATATGAAAATCGTACCGGTATGTCTCGAGTCTCCCAATATAACTTGACCGGATTACCATTTTCAAGTCTTATTTGGATTATCTAAAAGAGAATCCATCTTAAATAACATGTTCTACGAATATAAATACATATGCAGATACTGCAGTACCTTATCATTATTATAGCTTATTACAAAATCTCTATGCGTATACAAGAAAGTATCACCAGTATTTGCGTCAAACTCTCCGACAAATCCTAATGATGAATGTAATGCGTCTACTCAGAAATCTTATTATTTCTGTTTAAAAAAGGAGTGATAAATAAAAATTACCCCAAACTGGCAATTCATCTAAGTTCCGGAACCAAAAGAAAAAGAATTGATTGATATTGAAACATTTTAATTTATATACAACAATTTTCGTGACGCAATATATTATTTACCTAAAAATAGCTGATACCAGTAATGATTGGAAACAGCATAACGGAAAAGATTGACATCCTTTGCCGTTAATCCTTTATCACAAATCGTGAAATTTTCCTCTTTTACTAGAAAATAAAGAAAAGATTCAGAATATTTTTTCATGCAATGCAATTATAGATATGTTTATTTAAACACTAAATGTGTCAAAAAAAATTATTTCTACACAATTTTTTCGAATTTTTTTTTTCTATAAGTAAATTATTTCCAGAAGTCTTAAAATATAATATTTACACGCGTTATCTAACTTTCTAACTTGATGTATGTAATTTAATAACTCCACATATGTAATTTAATAACTTCAGTAACATCCCTATCCTACGAACATTCAATTTACTATCATCAAGTTTGCCCTTAAATATGTATAGCACATGATGCGCACCAATATCACACTTCCATACTAATTAT